TGGTTGGTTGGTTGGTTGGTTGGTTGGTTGGTTGGTTGGTTGGTTGGTTGGTTAGTTGGTTGGTTTTTGGAGACAGGGTTTTTCTATGTAGCCTTCGCTGTCCTGGAACTCACTTTGTAGACTAGGCTGGCCTTAAACTCACAGAGATCTGCCTGCCTCTGCCTCCCAAGTGCTGAAATTAAAGGTATGCACCACCACCACCTGGCTTAGGTTTTAGATTTTTGTTGTTTTAATTTTGCTTTTGCTAAGATAAGGTGGCTTTCTTTCAGTTCTTTTATATTTAACATGTATATGTGCATATGTGCTGTGTTCTTTGTGTCTGTGTGTGTGTCTTTGTGTGTGCCTATGCATGTGTGTACCTCAGCATGCATGTAGAGGTGAGAGGACAACTTTGGGGAAGTGGTTCTCTATTCTTCCACAGTGCCAGTTCCTAGTTAAACTCAGGTCAGTAGGTCTTGGTAGCAAAGACCTTTACTGAGCTTTCTTGCCAACCAGGTTTTCTTTAATAATACTTAAACTGCCATTAATTGCCAGATATCTATAAATCTTACTATTTGTGTTCCTGAATAGTTCGTATAGCATGTGTACGTGATGGTTCTGCTTTTGTACATATAAAAGCAGTGTGAGGGGGAAAGATAAACAATAAACATATTTTTTAAAAGTACTACAGTATAAGACTTGAGTGAGTTTTACACTGTAAAGTTCTTTATCTTGATGCAGGCTATTGACGGGTTGACCCTTAGCCCCACTTGCATATCCAAAATGAAACCTCTCTTGCAGCTTTCACATTCAGACGCGGAGCCTCATCAGAGGAGAGAACAGTCGGTTGAGTGCATGCGGAGAGAGGCAGAGCTTGCTGCCCTGCAGTATGAGGAGGAGAAAGGAAGGACCAAGCAGATTCAGAGAGAAGCCGTCTTGGACTTTGTCAGAGTAAGTCCTTTACCATCATTGAAGGACACTTGAAGTTCCAACAGCAAATGTTCATTCACTTTACCAAGACTGTCAGCTATTGTTGCCTCAGTTAAAGGGCTGGTTGTTTTCTCTCATAAGGAATCTTGACTAAAGAGGGTAACTGTCTCCCGTAGTCAAAGCTGTGACTGATTAGAGGCCAATAGATCTTGACCACCTTACTTTGGGGCTGGAGGTTCTTCTAGCTCAGGTGTCATAAGGATCATGGAAGTGGCAGTGCCATGGAAATGCTAAACCATTGTCATCCAGATTTACCTCCAGCTTTTTCATATAGCAAGCATACCATTTGTTGAGAGGCTACCAGGCTCCATTCTTCCATGGTCTTTGATTCCTTCCTTCCTTCCTGTTTCCATACCTACTCAGCTGGGATAGCTCTGTTATTATTTGTTGATATTTTATGGTTTCTTTAGTGCAGTCTTAGTACTATGAAAAACAAAATTTTGATTATATGGTTTGTTGTTTCATTTTGAAGTCATTTGGAATTTTCTCCATAATTAAGTATTTATAATTTTGTTCACTTATTGTCTCTCCCATTCATTTGCAAATTTCAAGACAGGAACGATGTCTGTTTTCACTTACTAGAACTTAGCAGGTTAGAGTCTGTAGAAAAACTCAGAGATTCTTGTTGAATGAGTCACTCTTCCTGTAAGTTTCTCACTTGTGTTTTGGGATTTTAGACCACGATCATCTTTTGAAAGTATTCTATGCATTTTTGTTTTACTGTTTTATGTGATGAATTCTTCATGTATATTTGTGTGTGTGTGTGTGTGTGTGTGTGTGTGTGTGTGTGTGCGCGCGCGTGTGTGTGTGATGTATGGATGGATGTAAAAAGGTATCAGACCCTGTGGAACAGAGTTGTAAGCCACCATGTGGGTGCTGGGAACTAGAGCCGGGTACTCTGCAAGAGCACCAAGTGCTCTTAACCAGTGAGCCATCTCTCCAGCCCTGTATTCATCTGTTTTTCCCCGGCTATTTCAATCCTGCAGTAACGATGGTCCTTCTCCTCATTGGAGTCTTCTTCACCTAACGTGTTACTGCCTGTTGTTTCTGTCAGACCATAAAAAAAATTTGTCCAGTGACAAAAGCTAGAATCAGTGCTCCTAGAACACGTTTAGAGGTCTGAAAAGTGATCTCAGCCAGCTTTCACCTCCCAGGCCTCTCTCCTCTCTACCCCGAGGTGGCTCCTCCTTTTGTGCCTTCTTCTCTCTGAGGATGTAAGTCACTAACATGTCTGTTTTATCACACTCTTACCTCCTGTCGTGGTTTTGCTTAAATCATCTATAAGCATTCACTATTTCTCCTAATTTGTCAAACATTGCCCTGTTCCTTAAGTCTTTATTACCAAATAAAGACTTTTAAGACATAGTTAAGACTTTCTGTCCATTTGTTTTATATTTATAATAGGGAAGATGAGAGTGTTGTGTTACACAGATGCAGTTGCACGTGACAGAAACGAAGCAGCAGACCCACACATGGGAGGTCAGTTGTCATGGTAGAAGGCAAACCTAGATTTCCTAAAGCCTCACTTGATTCATTTGTTCATTCCCTGATCTGATAAGACTTGAGGGAGTGCTGGTGATATGCCTGTAAAGGTAAATAAAATCAGGCACAACTTAAGCCTTGTCAGGAAATGGTGAATACAGAAGTAAAAGAAAAAAACCTGGAATGAAAGCAGAGAAGCAGCTAGAGAACATGTCATCAGAACTGACCTCAGCAGGACATGATGCGGTACTCTAGGAATGGACTGAGGGTGGCTTCCTTTAGGTTGAGAGAATGTGTAGTTTGGGAGCTAGGAATGTTCTTCCATAACTTACACACTTGACGTAATGGCACTTGAGGAAAATAGCAGCTAGTGTATGTAGAGTTTGCATTGAAGATAGCAAAAACTAGTGAATTGAGATGGTGAAGACAGCAATGGCAAGAATCATCCTTCTTAAATTTATTGAGTGCTTTCTGAGTACCAAACATTGTTTTAAGCATCCCCTTTTCTTTCTTTCTCCCCTCCCTCTTTCTCTCTGTTCATTTGATCTTTTCAAAAGTCCTATAAAAAGAATTACCATTATCCTCTTTTTATTCATCAGAAAACTAAGGTGCATGAAGGAAAATACATTGCCTAAAGCTATATTTCAGTGCTCAGCTAGTAACAGAGTGGGGATTCTAATAAAGCTAGCTAGCTTTCCAGACCCTACTCTGACCAGACTGCTATGTGGCCTCAGGTAATCCATAGAATAACGTACCTCAGGTCCTATTGTTAGCTCGTTTAGCTGCCTTCTGTAGAAGCTTACCAGCTAGCAGGAGGTAAAGAATCATTAATCTATTATGCAGGAGAAAGAAATTGTAAGTTCTTAGGAGAAGAGCATGAGAAGAAAGATTCTTCTGAAAAACCCATCCACTCATGTTAGAACAGTTTGGGAAGGAACAAAAGGAGAAAGTGGTATGGAAAGTAGTTGCAGTAATTAGGCTGGTATAGAATGAAGGTGTGTCCTCTAAGTTTAGTTGGCAGTGTGGCCAGGGAGAATTGGAAGCATCTGAGTTGTATCTGCCTGTGGCACTGTGCTATCCTGAGCTGTTCTGTGCCCTCCCATATGGACGATATTGAAAATATCTATTATTAATTTTAATGTTACCATGGCAGGTATCCTTTGTTAATTAAGTATATGGGGAATTTCTAAATCGATGAGCACTAAACAATAAATTATTGAAGATAAGGTTCAAAGAAAGAAAAAAGGAAGAGAGAGCAATAGAGATGGACCCAAAGCAAGGTTGGGATTAATGAGAGTCCAGCTTAGGTTTGTGAAAGCAAAGAGGAGGTAGAGTCAGAAGACAAATGTAAATCTCAGCTACACTACTTACCATCTTAATGCTTCACACCCTGTTTTCTCATCTCTAAATGAAGATGATCATGATATCTGTCTCTTACAGGGTGAGAAAATCACTTGAGATCCTCATGAGAATATCATCCCGGGGCTGTAGCTCAGTGGAGAAGTACGCAGGCGTGGGCCCTGGATTCCACCCCTAGCACTGCTTAACCAAGTGTGCTGCTGCACACCTGTAATCTTAGCGCAGGGAAGATAGAGGCAGGGATGTCAGAGTGCAGCTCGTCCTCGTTACCTAACAAGTTTGAGACCAGCCTGGGTTACATGAGACCCTGTCTCAAAAAAAGGAAGAAGAAAAAAAAGCTAGGCATGGTGGAACACACGTTTATTCTCAGCATCTGGGGGGGCACAGGCAGGTGAATCTGTATGAGTTCAGGGTCAGCCAGATCTCTACAGTGAGTTCTAGGACAGCCAGGGATACACAGAGAAACCCTGTCTTGAAAAACAAAAAAGGGAGGGAGGGACTGAGGGAAAAAGAAATTATAAATTTGCTTTTGAATATTGAATGTGAAATGTCATTGGTCTGAATTGAGTTTCTGTGTACATTTGAAAATACTTGTGTGGGATCAGGCTTAAAGAGTAAACAAACAAACCTTGAGATTTGTCCAACAGAAGCTAACTGATATGATATGTAAAGCCATTTGGGAGAATGAGTTCATGAGAGAGTATTCACATGATAAGTGTAGGGTTTTTTTTTTCTGTTAATGCTTATAGAAATATGATAGTATAGTTTATTGCTGTTCTTCATTTAACCTAAAATGTTTAAGACAGGAGTTTACTCACTTTAACTAGTAAATACAAGAAATAAATTGATGTGACTCATTTAATTAAATGGAATGTGTAAGTTCCAGGGTTGCGATTCTAACTAGCTTTCTCTTTCTGGGCATATAGCAAAAAGCATCACAAAGTCCACAGAGGCAGCAAGCCCCTGGAGATGGTGAGGTAAGTCCATATCATTACTTTTTCTTGGAATTTATTATTTTTGCAATGAAAATGAAATGTCTGGCATGTGGTTATATTTTCAGTGATCAAATGTTTAAATGATCAAAAAGTGGTTTTTGGCTCGTGGAGTGGACACATGCCCATTGTCCCGTCACCTGAAGGCAGAGGCAAGAGGTTAAAGAGTGCAAAGCCAGCCTATGCTACATAGTGAATTCTGGGCTAGCCAGAGCTATAGAGAGAAACTCTGATCTCAAACCAACCTGCTCCCCCAAATTTTCTTCCCCCCCACCACAAAATTCCACATATTAAGGGGAAAAGGTACAGGATAAGGAAGGAGATTATGAGAATACACAGGTAAAGGTTGCATATCCAGCCATCTAGAGACTATTACATCCCCTTCCTCAGCTGCCCTGTGGATCATCTTTTGCAGGTGAATGGTTTTGGTGTTCAACCAGAGAAACTGTAGCATTCTAGCCTCTGCTTAGTTCCTTGTTCTAACTCATATATGTTAGTTTATGTTAGTTTTGGATTAACCAGTACATTTTCATTACAAATAAATATTTGAAATTAATTGCTTAAAGTGTTTAAATGTTATTGGTCTGCTAAAATGAAGATTACCAAATAAATGTTATTTTAGTATAGTTGACTTTCTTATTGACCAGTTTCCCTTATTTTCAACTCCTATATTTTCAATATATGATTATTGCTTTATTTGACTTTTCAATTTGAATTGTATTTGAAAATAAACCTAATGTAAGTGGGACAAGATGGCTCATGAAGTCAGAGCTCTTTCTGCTGAACTTGGTGGAAAATGACAGGTGCCCCCCAGTGGTTGTCGTGGGACCTCCACATGTGTGCTGTGGCGCGTGCACACGGCGAGCACACACTAAACAACAAATAAACGACAGCCAAGTGTGGAGCTTCTCACAGTACATTGTTTCTGAAGTATAAGCTTTTTTTTTTTTAAGTATTTATTTTATGTACATGAGTGGTTTGTCTTCACACATGCCAGAAGAAAGAATCAGATCTCATTATAGATGTTTGTGAGCCTCCGTGAGGGTGCTGGGAATTGAACTCAGGACCTCTGGAAGAGCAGCCAGAGCTCTTAACCACCGAGCCATGTCTCCAGCCTGAAGCACAAGTTCTTAGTAACTGCTCTGCTTTACTTTTGTGTAAGTACTCAGCATGAGACCTAGGCATCACTCGTGTGTTTCAGTTGTCCTTTCTTCACAGAGTGATAATTATACAAACTTTTTTTTTTTTTGAGATGATGTGTCATGTTTGAGCCCAACCAGAACTCAAAACTCGCTTGAATTCCTGCTCGTCCTGCCCCCGCTTCCCAAGTACCGTGTGCCAACGCACCGGCTAACATTTCCGTAACTGTCTGAGAAAGGCAATGAAACAATGCCTAGACCACAATGCCTAGACCAGAATTCATGACTTGCAGGTTTACTTTTAATTTGTCATTGGTTTGCAAAGTGACCACAGATTGTTTGTGCTGCGGCAGCACCAGTCCCTTAGCGCTGTTTTTTGGGGGGCAGAGCCATCCCTGTTGTGCCTGAGCTTTGGAAGGTGTGCAGGCAGGAAGGCCACGCTGGCAGTTAAGGTCTCCAGGAGGAAGTCAGTCCTCGTAATCAACCTACTGCCTGTGATGGTGCATGAACGGCAGGGGAATATGGTCCCGTGTGTCAGCAGCTCTGGAAATGTGCCTTCATGCGTTGCTTTCCTATGTATGTCCTTGTGAAATGTGTCCTTGTGAAATGTACATTGTTTGTTTTGACATTGCTTCGTTTTCTTCACCTTCCCAGTGTCCCTTCCCATCCAGAAGGTCTCAGCACACTGACGATAGTGCCTTGTTAGTGGTAAGAATGTGAAAATGGAGTTTACATGTCGTTTTCAGAGTAGTTGTGTGCATTTCAGTCAGAATTGAGGTATGTGCCATAAAACATGATGGGCACATTGCTAAATGCTGTTCAAATAGCCAGGGCTGCCTCCCTTGGTTAACTTGTGATCTATCCAGCCTTCCAGAGTTTGCCGCATGCATCTCTCCAGTGCTCCCACCGGAAAACATCTGCACTGAGAACCTTGCTGGCTTTGTATGTGATGAGACATATGTGATAATTACTTTTTAAAATGTCTTTTCTAATTTTGAGGGCACCTTGTTAATTCATTTGGCTCCTGAGTCGCTCCTGAGTGTCAAGTGGATTGCTGTACTCCCAGACAGTAATTATATGTGACAAGCTAGTTTGCTGTGTATTTGTTTGTTGTTGTTTTTGTTTTTACCGACTGTCCTCCCTCCTTCTTGCAAATACAAGCAATGTAACATGTGCACGCTGGCACTGGTTGGAGAAATAGTGACAAAAGTTTCGCTTACAAACTTGAAATTCGAATACTCGCATTTTACTCTTAATCAGGAGCATTAGCTGGAGTGCTGGCTCCTAATGGTTTTGAATACTACTGTACTTTCCTGCCTATTGCTTCATCCACCTAAAGTGAATTAGCATGAAGCCTTTATTTAAAGTTTTTCTGAGGGCTGGAGAGATGGCTCAGTGGATAAGAACACTGCTTACTCTTCCAGAGGTCCTAAGTTCAAATCCTGGCAACCAGCTGGTGGCTCACAACCATCTGTAATGTGATCTGGTGCCCTCTTCTGTCCCACAGGTGTACATGCAGATAGAGCCCTCATATACATAAATAAATAAATCTTTTACTTTTTTTGATTGGTCTTGGAAGAGAATTTTAACCATTTATAAAATTGCTTTTCCCATCATGTTTTATGCTACTAATTTTATAGGTTTTTAAATTTTTATATTCAAAAGTTTCATGTCTGTAGTAACTCCTCTCCTAAGTGCTAGAAACTGCCATCTTGTGTGCTGTGTGAATTATAGGCTTTAGTGTGAGGCTCTTACAATATAACTTAAACATTGTTGCTCAGATTTCCTTGTATGTCTACAGCTTTCATTTCTGTTAAAATGGATAAAGTACATATTAACTGCATAGTCTTAAAAGTAGCTATGAAGCCCAGCCTCTGAAGTATTAGCAGAAATTAACTACTACAAGGAATGAAAGCTTAATTTATATAAGAAATACTGACGGTTTCTGATTCTAGTCAGTTAGTTATTTCACTCAGTTCTCACAGCAATCTTAAAAATTAAGGTTAAACTTACTACTAATAATTTACTGTGGCTTGACTAAGGTCACAAGCTTGGTAGGTCCTGTTAAGAGCTGGGGGTTTGTGGGGCTAGAGAGATGATGGCTCAGAGGTCCGTTCTTCCAAAGGTCCTGAGTTCAATTCCCAGCAACCACATGGTGGCTCACAACCATCTATAATAAAATCTGGGGCCTTCTCCTGGTATGCAGGCACACATGCAGGCAGAATATTGTATAAATAATAAATAAATATTTAAAAAAAAAAAAAAGAGCTGGGTTTGATTCTAGACCAGGCTAATGCAAGGCCTGTAGTAAATACTCAATGCTGGATTGCCTTCTGTTCTGAAATTGAAGGCACGATAGGAAACCAGAGGTGAGATCTAATAACACATAGAGTGAGTAATTAAAGTCTGAGTGTTCAAATGTTTTTATCAAAATAAAAATAGAATTTGGGAAAACAACAATAGCAAAATACCCTTAGCATGAAATTTGAACTACATTGTCAAAATTTCTCAGAACTGTTCTTCGCAGGGTTCATTTCATACTGTTCTTACAGTCTAAATTTTTAAAATATAACCTGAGTTGAAGCCTTTGTGTGCTTTGGCTACTCTGTCTCCATCCTTGTCTCTCGGCTCCCTCTGAATCATCCTTCTCCTCCTCCTTCTTTCTTCTTCTCCTTCTCCTTCTTTCTTCTTCTTCTCCTTGTTCTTCAACTATAAAAACCTGTTCTCAGAATTTTAACTGCTCTTCTCTCTGCATGGACTCTTTACTGTCTGCCTACTCCTTGATTGATTTGTACTCATTTATGACGGGTCTGCCTAAGCATCATATCTTTAAAATGGCTTTTCTGGGCTGGAGAGATGGCTCAGCAGTTAAGACCACTTGCTGCTCTTGCAGACAATTTAGGTTCAGTTCCCAGCACCCACTGGTGGCTCACAACTCTATGTGACTTCACTACCAAGGAATCCAGTGCCCTCCTCTGACCTTCAGAAGGCAATGGGGACAAACATGGTGCATATTGTGGATACAAATAAAGATTGAGGCAAAACACTCAAAGATCATTGTGTATGTAGAGAGTGGGGGGGGGACTGTTTCGGTGGGTAAAATACTTGCCTTGCATGAATAAAGACCTGTATTTGATTCCAGCATTCACTTTAAAAGTCAGGTATGGTGGTACACACTTGTAATTCTAGTATTGGGGACCATGTACAGGTGGATCCCTCGGGGTCGCTGGATAACTAGCCTAGCCTACTTGACAAACTCTCATGAATAAAGTACCTGCTATGCAAGTGTGAAGACCTGAGTTTGAATCCCTAGAACCTACATCATGCTGGGTACAGTATCGTGTCTGTAATCCCTGTGCTCCTGCAGTGAGAGTGATGCAGGCAGACTCTGTAACTCACTAAGCAGCAGCAGATGACAAAGAGACCCTGTCTCAACAGGTGGGTGGTGAGGATCAAAACCCAGGTTGTCTGTCCATTCATTCCACATATGTATCATGGTGCCCAGACTGCCCCCCAAACAAATGTTTACATACATACGCTTCATACACATGTAAGATTGTTTTTTAAGATAAAAGAATCAAATAAAAGTAAAATTACACTTTATCCTCTTAGAAATTCTGGTCTTTTGGGATTTCATAGAAGCAGAGATGAAATGCAAGGTCATCTTTACAGTATGAAGCAGAATCCTCATGATCTTATTCCTCTCCAATATAACTTGGATTAATATTTTAAAAATATTTTTTATTTATGCTAGTCCTGTTTGGTTAAAAATAAATTCGCTGACAGTATTTATTTTCCATTTCACAGAACAATAGAAGATACATTAGTTTCAAAGCTATTTTGCTAAAGTCATAGGTGTCTTAAGTTTTATTTCCATATGAAATAATTTTTATATACCTCTTTTTTTGTATTTTGGGGAAACATAAGTTCTGAAACATTCACTTGTCTTTTTATTTTCTGTGATTTATTAGCAGCTATAGCACTAGAAAATGCCTCTTGATTCTTGGTTAATGTAGTCTGAGGCCTTAAGAGTATTTGAATTCTACAGGTAGAAAAATTCTGTTGAGTCAATGATTCCATGATGCATTTCCCCCTCTCTTCTGTTAGCACCTTAGTAAACAATTCAGGCTTGTTGACGACCTTCCCTGTGCTAATTTTACTGCTCAGCTCTGCCTGCCATTTGCTAACTCAGATGCTGCCTTCTGTTTCTTCTCTTCTTTACTTGAAATTTAGTCGCTGTCAGGGTTGGATCGAGTGAGCTGCGTGGCTACCCTGCCTCATTCTTCTGCCTTCACACCTCTTAAGGTATCTCTTGTTGCATTAATGCACCAGGAAATTCCGGGAGGAGGCTGAGGGTATGCAAAGGGGTCTTAAATTTCAATGTATTGGTATAACAGCAAGCCATTCTCAGGGATCACATGAAATATACCTAAGGTTATGAAAGTACTTGTGTTAGCACAAGTTTCACCATCTTTTCAATAGTTATTCCTCCAGGCATAGTAAATGTTGCAAGATGAACTTCACATTTGATAAAGTAGACTTAAAACGTTTTCCAGAAAGTGTGCCTCCCTTCCATACCAATCTGAGTTTGGAACATGAAAACAGCGGCTTTCTTTAGTCTCAGAGGGAAGTTTCTTGACTCTGAAGCCAGAACCACGTGGCTGAAGCTTGCTGCTTTCTGGAACTGGAATATGGCCTTCTTGTTCAATTATGTCTTTACTAGCTTTCTGTTTTCACTCCCTAAGCTTGGCTGTCCTGGAAAGTAGAACAGGCTGGCCTTGAACTCAGAGACCTGCATGCTAACAGAGTCTATAGGATAGACTCTCTTGTAGTTCACTCTTTTGAAGAGTGTTTTGATAAAATGCAACAAGCTTAGGAAGGAAAAACACAAAATGTATGGTTCAAGGGGTAAAGGGGTACCAGGAAGTGGAATGGGGCTAAATCCTGTGTTCAAGAAGATAAATAGATTAAATGTATTAAATGGAATTAAGGGAGTGGTAACCTCGGGCAAGATCTTACCCAGCTAAGCTTCTATCTTATAAAGAGCAATTAAAGAAAAGCTTAGGTCCAGGCTTGGAGGTACATGCCTTTAATCACAGTGTTTCAAAAGAGTGAACTACAAGAGAGCCTATCCTAGGCTCTTTGGAGATTTCCTTTGCCAGTGCAGTTAATCTAAATCTCTTCAGTTTAGCTTTCAGTAGACTCTTTGGACAAGAGAAAAGCAGCCACATTTTCCACCAAAATATCACAAGAACAAATCTCTAGGCAACATAGTAAAACTCTTCTCCTTCTCCTCAGGCCCTCACAGTGCAAATCACCCTTAATACCATTGTCTTACATACTTCTACCAGTATGGCCCACGAAGCCCCACTTAAAGGCATTCCACTGCTTTCATTAGCCAAAGCCCCAAAAACTACATTCTTCAAAACAAAAGCATGGTCATGTCTATCACAGCAATACCCCACTCCTGGTATCAACTTCTGTCTTAGGGTTTCATTGCTATGAAGAGACACCATGACCACACCAACTCTTATAAAGGAAAATATTTAATTAGGGCTGGTATATAGTTTCAGAGGTTTAGTTCATTATCATCATGGCAGGAAGCATGCATGCAGACGTGGTGCTAGAGAAGAGTTTTACATCTTGATCTGAAAGAAGCAGAAGAGAACTGTGATTTATACTGGGAGGAGCTTGAGCGTACATATGACCTCAAAGCCCGCCCCTAGAATAAAACACTTCCTCCAACAAGGCCACATCTTTTAATAGTGTCACGCCCTGTGCCCACACATTTAAACACATGAGTCTGTGGGGGCCATACCTATTCAGAACACCAGTTATGGAGATGTGTTCCTCAGTTTTGCACTTGTATAGGTTCTTGATATTGGCCTTCAGAGCTGTCTGTGAACTATTGACCATGCTTAATGTGTCCTCTTTGGCATCAGGAAGAGTCATGGCCAACTGGATTCATGTGCAACAGGATAAACAAGCTAGAACTTGGATTTATCCCAAACTGCAATTCTAGGACATCCTGTCCCTTCTATGCTTTCAGGATCGCCACACCAACATTACAGCTCCCACTAACTGTCATTTGGGTTGGTGTTGAACGTTCTGGTCAGAGTCGGGTTGTCTTCAAATAGGTGATGTCTAGCTGTAGAGCCCATAGTGACCAGCAGGCAGGTTCCATTGTCACCAGTTGTGTTTGGACACAGAAGAATTTGTGCACACATGAGATGACAAGGATCTTGGCTGCGCAGTAGATAGGAAAGTACAATTTTCTTTTCTAAGTAACTGAGCTGTGTTTCCTTTTTGCAGATAAACTTTATATTCTTTAGCTAGTTCTTGCTCCGTATTTATACTTTTGCCAGTGAGTTAAAGTGCTAGGACTTGGCCAGGTGTTGTGCACGTCCCCAACCCCAGAACTCAGGTGGCAGACAGATCTGTTAAGTTTGAGGACAGCCTGATCTACATAGAGTTCCAGGAAAGCTGGAATTACATAGAAAGACCTTGTCAAATAACACCAAAAGGAAAATATTAGTACTCAAAAATACATGTAATTTTCTGTGTGTGCATATGTACATGCAAGGGTGCATGTATAACGTGGATTGAACTCAACACTGTACAGAAGCCATCTACCACTAAGCTAGACCTCAACAATTATCTATCATGTTTTAAATATATTTTTCACAAAAATCAAGAAATGGTACTCACCAGCCGATAGTAGCACACACCTTTAATCCCAGCACTCGGGAGGCAGAAGCAGGTGGGTCTCTCTGAGTTTGAGGAGTTCTAGGACAGCCAGGGGTACACAGAGACACCCTATCTTGAAAACAAAACAAACAAAAAAGTAAAATTTTTCTTTCCATTATATCTTCCAATAATTGTTTTGCCTTAGAATGTCCTGCTTTTTCACAGTGTTTAGGAGGTCACTCAGATCTTTAAAGAATGCACTATATAAACAAGGAAAAGTTTTGTCTTTTTTAAGAAAAAGTTCAAAATCAGTCAGTTTTACTGAGCTTTCATTTCTAGACTTATTTTTGAAGGAAAAGTGTGCGGCTTTCTTATGTTTCTGAAATGTGGAAACTGACCTTTCTTGAGTAGTAACTACTGTGTATCTGCTTCTCCACAGAGTGACAACAGAGTTAATGCCACGTCAAGCTTTCCTACAACAGAGACAGGTAAAAGACATAAAAGTGGTGTATCTAATGTTTTGGGGGAGTCTGGGAGAGAGAAACAGAATCTTGTCATGTAACCCAGGCTAGCCAGAACTAATGGTTCTCCTGCCTCATCCTGTGGTCATACTCTTTATCAGGTTCCCTCTCTGTCTGTCTCTGTCTCTGTCTCTCTCTCTTTCTCCTCTTTCTGTTTGTGGTGGGGGGCAGAGATGAAAGTCTGGTGTGGCCCACGCTGGCCTGAAACTTGGAGTAAAGATAAGGAATATTCTGATTCTCCTGCTTGTGCCTCCAGCTCCAGCATGTGGCTCTGCCATCATGCCTAGTTTCTATAGTGCTGAGAGCACACTGATCCAACCCAGGACTTCATGAATGCTAGACAAGCACCCTACTAACTGAGCTACAGCCCCAGCTCCTCTTTATCAGAATTTCTTTTTCACTAGCTGTCCGTATGATAAGGAAAAAAGAATAGGAATTAGCAGGGATATAGGTTTGTAAGAGACTAAGTTCAGTGTATTAACTTTTAGTTACATTTGTTGATAAACTAAAAATAACAGAATTTTTAAAATAAACAAGCAGCTTTATTTTTATACATGAGAGTTTTTCATTAATTAATAGAATCATCATTTTATATCATTGCCATGTTTGATTTGATTTTTGTTATGTGCTATTTAGTGGACTTTTGTGACATTTGTCTGTATCATCTTTGATTTGCTTTCCATCTCCTTTAACATCATCTTGCTTTTCCATGCTGATATAGTCCATCATTCCCCTGCATATTCTTTTCCTGCTGCTACCCAGAGAAATCAGCCCCAGCGCCCTGAAAGCTTCCTTTTCCGAGCTGCTGTTAGGGCAGAAACTAATAAAGGTAAGTGGTGGTGATTTTAAAGGCATGGCAAAGTGGGGATGGCCATACACAGTGACTCTGACATGCTTTTCAGCTGCATACCTAGCCATCATCTTGGCAAAAATATTAACTGTGCTGGTGTCTGGGACCTCACTAACATTAAGTCAGGAGCATCTTGGTTTTTTGGTTTGGGTTAGAAACTTTCTTAGTACCACATAAAACATATTTTGTAATGTTTCAGCTATGCATGATGGTATATGCCTATAATCCCTACATTTAGGAGGCTGAGGCACAACTGATTTTAAGGCTAGCCTTAGGCTGCATTTGAAGATCCTATCTCAAAAGCTAAAACTAAAAAACAGATTGAACAAGTAAAATGCTTTTTCAACTAGAGAACATTCTTCTCTTATTATAAACTCTTTCTCAGATCTTTCTGTATCAATACACTGTTGAACATTAGTATACCTATTATCAGCAGTTAATACTTTGAGAAACACGCATGTGTATAGAACAAAAGACAAGTACAAAAACATTCACAGCAACCATTTTTATAATGGCACCAAGTGGAATGCTCACAGGAGAAAGGGGATAAACCATGGTGTGTCTTACAATGAAATGTGATGAAAATGATACATACAATGATATTCATATATCTAGTATATACAGTACTGATAAATACATTTATAATGTTCATCAAAAATACATACAATATGGTTTAATTTATAGAAAAAAATTCAAAAATGGACAAAATAAATCTATGTTGTTCAGGTGAGGATATTGGTGCCCTTAGGGTTCAGTGGGCAGAGAATATTCAAGAGGCTTTGAGATATGGATAAATTTCACTTATAGCACTTAGCCATTTCATTTTGTGAGGATAATTTATTAGCCTTTGTTTAGAACTGTGTAATTTTCCACATATGTGGTATTTTTTTAATAAAAGCATTTATAAATGGATGTAACTCAAACTAGAATGTTAAAATGTTCTGCCATTATAATTGTTTGTCTAAATTTCCAGCTGGTGCTTTAGCTACTTGTCCAGCCCAAAGCCCATTTCAATTTACTCAATAAGCCTATTTTCTTTCTTATAATAATGATGCTTTTTGAAAGTACCTTTATTGTTTTACTTTATGTGGACGGGTGTTTTGCATGCCTGTATGTCTGTCCACCACATGCATGAGGAGGTCAGAGTAAGGCACTGAACCCCCTAGCACTGGAGTTACAGATGCTTGTGTGCTGCCGTGTAGGTGCTGGAACCAAACCTGAGTCATCTTCTTTTTGTTTGGTTTGGTTTTGATTTTTGGTTTTTCAAGACAGGGTTACTCTGTGTACTCCTGTTCATCCTGGAACTCCCTCTGCAGACCCGGCTGGCCTCTAACTCAGAGATCCACCTGCCTCTGCTTCCCAAGTGCTGGGATTAAGGTGTGCACCACCACACCTGGCCAAACCTGGGTCTTCTATCTACAAGATCAACAAAAAGCAAGTTCTCTTCAGCACTGGTCCACCTCTCCAATCCCCAGTGAAAATGCTGTACTGGCAAGGAAGCTCGCCAGACAAACGTGTTTCCCCAGCACTGGCGGTTGACCTCCCCACCTCATGTCTTTTCCAGGCCGTGCTTCACCCCTTCCGTCTGCTGCGCCTGCCGCTGATCCTACGGCTCCTGGGACAAGACAGAGAGAAGAAGAGCTGAAACTAATAGATCAACTACGGAAAGTGTGTACATTACCTCTGCATTTGAGCTTTGGCAGTGGCACTGCTGTAGGCCATGTCCCTTAGGTCACATGCTCACCTGGTCTGTCATTATCATAAAGTCAATCATGTCTACTGGATACATACACTGTATGCACCTTGTGATGAGTGTAAAACAGAGTTCACCAGGGAGGAAATTCCTTTGAACTTTTTATTGAGAAAATTGGATGAATAATTGGAGAAGTTCACTTCATAGCCATGCTCATTTTCATTTTTTCCCACTTCTGTTTTTCATCGTGTCAAAAGGCACTCTGAGAAAAGCAGTTACAGTGTGTGAGGGCCAGGCCTGGTGGTCCGCCAGTGCAGCCTCAGTAATGTGAGGGAGCAGGGTGGTCACTAGTGTGAGATCAGACTGTGCTGCACATCGAGACCCTTTCTTAAAAGAGAGGGAGTGTGTGTGCCTGTGCACATTCTCAAACTGAACGTACATGTTGATGGATTGGCTGTCTTTTTTCTGAATCAAACAAGAATTCAGTTTGGGTTCATGTTTTTGTTTAGACCAGTTCTCCCTGTGTAACTCAGGCTAGCCTTGAACTCTCCGTCTTTCTCCTTTTGCCTCTGTAGTCTGGAATTACAAGCACTGACTACCATATCGGGACTTAGTGGTTTCCTGAATCATTAAATTAGAGTAATTTCTTTTGTGCTTTTAATGCACTGTGACCTGGCTGTGGTGCATACATGTCATCACTATAGGTTACTGACTTCAGTTAGAAGAAAAATGGGGACTGTGGTACCTAAGTTAGTTTCTTTTCTCCTGGAGTTTGTTTTGCTTTGATTTTTGTTTTTTATTTTTGTTTTGAGACAAGGTCTTACTTTATGGCCCTGGCCAGCGTGGAACTCACTGTGTACCCCAGACTGACCTTAAATTTTCTGTAATTCTTCTGCTGCCCTAGCCTCCTAAATGCTGGGATTACAGGCATATGCCATCATGTCCAGCTTTTTTCAGGATTTCTAACTACATACATTCCATTGTCTTGTCTTTATATCCTATACAGTAATTACCTTTCAACTAATGCATGACATTTCCTGTCTTTGCAGCATATTGAGTACCGGTTAAAAGTATCTTTGCCCTGTGATCTTGGAGCAGCTCTGACTGATGGTGTTGTACTTTGCCACTTGGCCAATCACGTTCGGCCTCGATCTGTCCCAAGCATTCATGTCCCATCTCCAGCTGTGGTAAGTTGTAGTACCAGTCAGCATTGACTATTCATCAGAAGCTTTTCAATTCAGTGTTGTCATTGTGCTAGAGGTAGCAATGCAGATACCAAGGGTCTGATCCTCGCCTTCTTGTTCTCAACGTTGACTGGAGAAAAAACAGATACATAAATAATAATTTACAGCATGTATTGAATATTGTAAGGGGGTATAAGAAGTGTACTCTGCAGATACCAAAAGGGGACCAGTTAACTCTACCTAGAGAATTCATGAAGCCTTTTGGAGGAGGAGAAATTGCACCAGTTCAGTTATGAAGTATGGGTAGGAATTGGCCAGCCAGCAACTTAAATCAAGGAATTGTTCAGTTATTCAGAATAGATGACACACAGGGTGAATGAGAGGGTGCTGATGGCCATGGATGAAGCTGAAAGGTAGGCCTAGGCTGTGGTTTAGAGGCCTTAAAACATGTCAGGGAGTTAGAGGTTTGTATTAGTGTAAATAGTGGGGACATCTTGAAAGTGCTTGTTGATTATTCAGTAGACATAGCAGCATAGTGCACACTGTTAGAATGTAGGGAGGGCTGGCGAGATGGCTCAGCCAAGAAAGGGTCTTGCCACCGAGCCTCAGAGCCTGGTTTGCAGGCTGATTCAGTGAAGACTGCTCATTTAGAAAGGGCTCTTTGTACTTTTCTGTCCATTTATAGTTAACAATTTGCTGAGCTGACCCCTGACTCCAGGCTGGAGCCAAACTTATAACTTGTGTCTGGCTGCCCTGTTTGCAGAGCCCTGCCAGACTTCTTTGAGTTCATTTCCTGTTTTACCTCTTGTGGAATCAGAAAGTATATCACTAAGAGGCATCCCCTTTAAGTCCAGTCACTTAGGAACCAGTCATTTTAAATCCCAGCTTTTATGCCAGTGTCATGCTGTTGGAAGAAAATTTACACTCACTAAAACAGTGCCATAGGGCTGGAGAATGGCTCGAGAGATTAGAGCTTTCTGCTCTTGCAGAAGACCTGGGCTAGGTCCCAGCACTCACATGGCAGCACTCTACCATCCGTGACTCCAGTTCCAGGGGCCTGACGCCTTCTCCTGAGCCACAGGAAAGAAATCCATCATCATCTAAAGTGGGAAGTCAGGGGATCCAGCCAGGAATAATAGGGACAGTTTTTTTATTGTTGAACCACCTAACTTTCCTTTTTTGGTTCTCAGGGAGGAATTAAGCTATGCTCCGATAGCTGCTCAGCCTTACTGTCTTGGAAGTTGGATCAGGGCCTATAGACATTATCATTTACATTTTTAGTCAACCCCCCCCCCTTTTTTTTTTTTTGGATTTATCTTTTTTTAAGTTTGTGTATGTGTGTATCTGAATATGAGTGATACAAATGAGTTCTGTCCTGGCAGAGTCTTGAAGAAAGTGTCACATCCCCTGCAGCTGGACTCACAAGTAGTTGTGAGGTGTCATGTTGGTACTGGGATTTGAACTCTGGTCCTCTGTGGGGCAATATCCACTCTTATCTTCTGAACCATCTCTTCGGGCCTTAATAGCCTTCTTAAAATGAGTTTGCTTTCCTGAATGTGCTATTAGCTCTTCAGGTATGATTTTAAAAGAGTCTCTTTAATTTTAAGAAAAAGGTTTTTAAGTTTTGTGTGTGTGTGCTTGTGTTTGTGCACCTGGACACGATCCTGAATGAACTCATGTGCATCGTATGCCTGCAGGAGTCCATGGGAGCCAGAAGAGATCATTGGAGTCCCTGGAGCTATCATATGGGTGCTGTGAACCAAACCCATCATTCCAGCCCCATACTTTGGTACATGCCTTTAATCCTAGCACTTGGAAAGTAGAGACAGGTAGATCTCTGTGAGTTCAAGACCAGCCTGGTCAGCTTAGGCCAACCAGGGCTACATAGTGAGACCTTGTCTCAAAAGCAAAAACAAACAAATATAAAAAGATAAAACAAACACATATAAAGTTTTGAGCTGGTGAGACAGCTTAACAGGTAGAGCTAGCCACTAGAGTGTGAGCTAACTCCACCGTTGTCCTCAGACGTCCATGAGTTCCACAGCACACACACCCACGGGCCGTGTAAATACACACACAATGATAATAATAAATGAAAGCTAGAGAAAAAGTTTTAAGGCTCAGCATGATGAGTCATGCCTATAATCCAAGCACTTATGAGTTTGAGGCAGAGGCATCAGGAGCTCAAGGGCGTCCTGGTCTATATAGCAAGTTTGAAATCAGCCTGTGCTACATGAGACCCTGCTTTAAAAATAATAAAGTTTCAATGCCTGAAAAAATGTTTTTAGTTATTTTAAATATCCAGAACTAATTATCTCCTGTTCTTTTCAGTTCAGAACTCATATTCAGTGTAGGCTCTACATTATAAAAATAAGAGACTAGACTGTGTTGCCACAAATCATATGTCAAGCCATTTGAAATTCTGGGAAAACTTTTAGAGATGGTGGGTTCCTCTGAGATTTGCTACTTAAGACGAAACTGATTTCCACAGTCTGGAGTGCGTGCTGGAGAAGCCTGTGTCCTGCTGATGGATAAGCCTTTTATTGATGTTTCCAGAAGAGGTTGTAAACGTGGGAACTGTGGGCTTCTCAGATAACAGAGGTTCTGTGCACTACTTAAACTTGTATCTGAGGATTCCCCTGAAGAGTGGACATATAAGTTGTACAATCATAGAACAGGAGGTGTTATCCCAGTTGTGAAACACTGGCCTTCATTCCCGGACTGTAGTAAACACTGAGGGAGAGGAGGAACTGGAGAGACAGTCTCTCCTCTTCCCTCATCAATTAGAAATCTGTTCTGTGGGGAATACCTCAGGAAATCCATTCTGAGAAATCCCACACATCTGTGTTTTAAGTTGCTACTAGTAGTCCTTATGTGAGAAATATGTACTGAGTGTGCACTTTCTCTCTGTCCTCCCCCACCTTCCCCATATGTCTCCTTCACTCAGTCACTCATTTTTATATGAATTATAAGAAATTGCGTTTGAACTAGCTTCTGTTTGTTTGTTTGTTTGTTTGTTTGTTTTTTCAAGGCAAAGTTTCTCTGTGTAGCTCTGGCTGCCCTGGACTCAATTTGTAGACCAGGCTGGCCTGGAACTCACAGAGATCAGCCTGCTCTGCCTCCCAGAGTGCTGGGATTACAGGCAAGTGCCACTGCCACCACTCCCACCCTCACCACTGCCACCGCCACCTGCCTGAACTGTTTGTAATTAGCAGCATTAGCTTTATCCTTTTTACCCTTGCTTTTGTACGGAAACAGTTTTTCCTTCCTATAGCCAGGTTATGTCAGACCATACTTCTGTGTCAGTATTTCAGAAACATAGGTTTTCCTCTTCGGTAAAACAAAGTGCTCATGGCTTCTCCCTCATAGCATTCTCTCCCAAACTGAGAGCTGGGTCCTGACCAGCCTCGCCAGCCTCCTAGGAAGAAATGCTCCTAAGAAGGAAATATACTTGCTTTTGCTTCCAACCCTGGAAGGCAGAAGGTGAAGCTGACATGTGGAGAGAATTTCAGCTTAGAGAGACACACCAAAGTGAAGCAGTTTGTCCTGTTGGATTTGCATTTTGTGTCTTGTTGTTGTTTGTTTTGGTTTGAGACAGAGTCTCATTGTATAGTCCTGGTAGTCCTAGAACTATATAGACCAGTCTGGCTACGAACTCACAGAAATCCACCTGCATCTACTGCTTGAGTGCTAGTTGTTGTCTCATTTAGCCTAGGCTGCCTTTGAACTCTGACCTCCCTGCCTACACCATCCTCATTCTCGGGTTCCAGGCATGTCTCACTGGTCTGGCCCTGCAGCTTTTCATTTGCAGCGCTGCTGTGAAAGTCAGGCCCTTTGCCCCTTGGCTTCTCCTCCTAGCAGCTGTCTTCCTCGCCCTTCAGTTCAACTTGCCTTTCCCTGGAGCTGAGGAGGCCACACTGCTGCTTGTCTGTGCACACCTTCATTTCCCTGGCGGCGGCAGCCACAGCTGCAGAGGAGCCTGGGCCAGTATGAAGGAGCAGGTGGGGAAACCCAGGGCTGTTCTGCTTCCATCTGTCAGGAAGTGATGATTCC